TTACTTTCATCACAACTCCACCAATCATCACTCCTCCAACCGCTGATAGTGGTTCACCACGTAAAGCATTGCCCTCAACCAAGTGATATTCGGAAAGCCAAGCATCCATGCCGGCTGCACCTCCGTCAACAAACACGAAGAAGAGGTCTCGTGCCCAATAAACTTGTTCTAAACACAACTATAAGACTAGTGAAGAAAAATCGCGAAAATTGAGGAAAACAGCAGATACAACGTACGTCGGGCAAATGCAGCGTAGGCCATCGTCACTGCTAAAGCTTCTCTCTGTGTTAGATCAACAGCGAACAACATCGCCTCAACTCCGGTTGCCCGAGTAGCGCGCAAAACAGCATATACATTCGTGCCAGAGGCATTCTGTAGATACCAATTCAGGGAAATACGGATTAGTGTATGACCGTGCATATAGAACATTTCTCACCGACAATTTTACAGTAGACCACCAGCGCTGTTTGTGACATTGAAGACCTACTTCTTCCATGCACTTGCAGATATAGTCCTGCTTGTATCTGAATAAATTCACAGTTGTAAATCTCAATTCTCTCTTCTATACATCATGAACCATCTATCTAACAGTGTTTCTAAAGGTCACGAAGTTTTTGCGGCCATCTCCAAGAAACTGAGAAAGTATTAAGTGCTTGAAACTGACTTAACATTCTCCTTGAGCCCTTGCAAGTATTCTACGGCTAATCCATCTTTATCAAATCGTTCCGTGACCAATCCAGGCATCAAAGCATGTTCACTGACTCTAAAAACAGCAAAGGATAACCGTAAGCCCTTGAACCCAATTATTTGTCCAACACCCACTGGTGCCCGAAAGTACGCCATATCACTAGTTACGTTTATTACCATAAGCGAACCTTGTGTGTTCAGAATTCTTGTAATCCAAGATAAATGAGGCATAGTACAACGCTGCAGTGTAAGATATGAGCCCGAAGAGACCAGGTCTGTCCAGTATCCGCTGGAGTATGCGATGTCTCTGACCCGAAGATGTCACCAGTGACCTCATCTAGTAAGTAGTTCATTATTGAAATCAGATCTCGTTATTTGTCTTTTCGCAAAGAATAGGCGTAAATGCGTTCTACTATGCACACGGCTATTCTTGAGCTTTGCTC